CCCAGTGCTCCAGGATCTTTGAAAAATATAGTTCAGTGGTTCTGAGATCACATCTGCCAGTTCCTTGAGAACCTTGGGGTGTAATCCATCTGGCCCTGGTGATTTGAACTCGTCTAGGCTGGACAGGAGCTCACTTATCATTTTCTTGCCTATCTTAACTTGTGTTTCTATACTGTTTTTTATGGCACTATTTTTGATAGGTTGGTCTGTTTTTTCCCTTTGTGTAAAGACAGATGCAAAAAACGAGTTAAATAGTTCCGCTTTCTCTCTGTTGCTTGTCACCTTCTTACCACTTTCACCCACTAATGGACCAATCGTTTCCTTCACTTTTTTCTTGTTTTTTACATGTTGAAAGAAGCTTTTTTTGTTATTTTTGACTTTGGTTGCAAGCCTTAGTTCATTTTGAGCCTTAGCTTTCCTCACTTTGTATTTGCAGGCTCGGGCTATTTGCTGATATTCTGACTTAGTTATATGCCCTTCTTTCCACTTTTATACTTGTCCTTTTTATCTTTCAATTTGTCAGAGAGTTCTTTATGCAGCCATGCTGGTTTCTTTTGAGAGCTGTTATTTTTCCTCTTTGTTGGTATTGAGGTAGACTGGGCTTCTATTATCTTGCTTTTCAAAATTTCCCAAGCTTCTTGTGTTGTTTTCCCCTGGAGGATTCTCATCCATGGAATCCTTCCCAAGCCCTCTCTAAGTTTATTGAAATTAGCTCTCTTGAAGTCCAAGACTCTAGTTTGACTATGTTCTATCGCTTGTGCTTCCATAATGTTGAATTCCAATAATAATAATAATAAATAATAAAGGTTAATATGTATCTGATTTGGACTTAAGCTGACTTATGTTACTGAGTACTGAGGAGATCAAACTGGCCTATAAGAAAGACCAAATGAAGAATAAGAAGTAGACATAGCAAGGAAAAATATATGACCAATATAAAAGCAGCAAAGCAGATAAGAAGACCTGACAACAGCTAAGAACAGGAAAGATGAAGAAAGAGACAGAAGGACTAATTCTGACTGCAAGAATTAATTCAAGATTAATTAAGACTAATTCAAGACCAAATCTTGAGAACAAATACATAAAAATTGAGAAGATAAAAAAGAAACTGAATCACCCAGTTAGCTGCTGCAAGATCGCACAGACTACAAAGAACAGCATGATGAAGTAGCAACAATGGTGTGTTGGAATATTTGCAAAAAATGCCATTTTCCATGATAAAAGTACTACTTTGTCTAGTTCAAAATAGACAAAGTAATAGAAAATGAAGACGTTAAAGTCCTTTTGGACTTAAGAATTCATACAGACAGCCACCTGTTACATAACTCCCCAGACTTAACAATTGTTGATATAAAGACAAAAAAAGATATGGATAATGAATGTGGCAGCATCTGGTGACAGCAAAATAGACCATTGGAGAAAATCACAAAATACAAAGACCTGCACATAAAGCAACTGTGATGAAAAAAAAACAAAGATAGCACCAATAGTAATAAGTGCCTTGTGTGCAATTCCAATATACCTGGAGCATCACTTGAACCCTATTGGCACTGACAAAATCATGTCAATGTAAGCAGCCTTACTGGATAGCTTGCATCCTGCGATAATACTTTTAATTCTATCAAACAAGAACATCTGCCTATCTCAGGTCTTTGGGAAGGACTTGATAGGTGGATAAAAATGTCAAACACAATCTAAATAATCTAATAAAGATAGCTTGTTCACTGGCTCATTTCTAAAGGGAGAAAATTAAATCCTGTTGGAAAGTGTACCTTGTATTCTACACGTCCAGAGTGTTCTAACCTACATTTGCTTATTTAAGAATATTCACTATCACATTGATCTTTATAGAAACAGCAACCGAGTTCACATGTGATTCACAAAACTGTTTAACAGGGTCCCTGGCTATGCTCACATACATCCTAGAACCTATCAACAGGCAAATTTCTAGTGATGGAAAATTGAATGCATTGGAGTTAACTTTCTCATGGAACCCCAGTAAATTCTCATGGGACCCTTGGATTCTGTGCATCCCAGCTTGGAAAGCTTTGCATAATGCTCTGTTTACACCAAAATGCTTCGGTTCACATAAGACACTACTAAGCACATTAAAATCTGATTACTCTGGTTTGTTTGAAGCATTATGGCTCAGTACATTAGATTCCAGCTAATGGGGTGTCCAAACTTTTTTCAAAGAGGGCCAGATTGGATGAAGTGAACGTGCTGGAGGGCCGAACATTT